AGCATGTTATCGTGAAGTTTAAACATAAACAATAAATTTTGATAAATGTTTAGTTCGAATACATTCAGAGCTTTAATTTCTTTTAGTAAAGACTTGGCGTGTGCATATTTGTCTGCATTAAAAATTAACCGAGTCGCTTGTTTTTGTTTGCTATAAATTTTTTTGAATAAAGACGAGTGATTACTTGCCCAAGCTATATTACAATAACTAATATAGCTATGTGTAAATGAAAAATATAAATTTTTGAGGCACATATTATTCAAAAGGTGCTTCATTTTGAACATAATCCCCAAGGTTAAAGAGATTTTGTTTTCTAATAATTTAATATGATTTTTCCAATTTAAATGTTCATCAAATAACATACCTAAAATTTTCATTGAATGAACATTTTTTATTTTAATGTTGTTTATAAATAAATCTGGAAGTTTAAGGGGTAAGTTACCAGTTTTTGAGGGTTTTGTGAACAAATTGTATTTCGTTTTATCATTATTTAAAGAGAGTCTATTAGCTTTAAACCATTCGTTGAGATTTACTAGTTCAGTGTTAACAGTAGAAAAAATGTACTTTGAATTATTACCAGAAAAGAAAATATTGGAATCATCCGCAAAAAGAATGAAATTTAGTAACTCGGAGGATAAATGGATATCATTTATATATATGAGAAATAGCAGAGGACCAAGAATTGAGCCTTGGGGGACACCATAACTAATACTTTCTAATTGTGTACTTGTTAAGTCATACGTAATACATTGTTTACGATTCTGAAGATACGACTGAAGCTATTTTAAATTCTCATTCAAAATTCCGTAGTTTTGCAATTTATATAGAAGGATTTCATGATCTACAGTGTCAAAGGCCTTCGATAGATCTACAAAAACTCCCAGTGTATAGTTGTTGTCATCAAAGCCTTTCAAAATAGTGTTATTCAAATCAACTATCGCATGCTCAGTGCAATAGTTTTTTCTAAATCCAAATTGTTTATGGTATAAAATATTATTTTTTTCAAGATAATTGTATAATCTATTGTACATTACACGCTTAAGAAGCTTTGAACTTGAGTTTTTTACTGTTAATCTTATAACAAAACTATTCCAGAAAGTCAAATGGCAAAGATGGAATAAAGTAGATTCCAATTGTTTAAAGAAAAAAACTGAAAACACAATCTCAGTTTGAGTTGTCTGGAAAATAAAGTAGAAAAGTTGTTTGATGTATCTGCTAGTGCAACCTTTAAGCTATTGATGATCGTAAAAATATGTAAAAATAGTTTTTATTATAGAAGAGTTTACTAAACTTTCAACTCTTTCTAGGAGTTGCTAGTTTAATTTGCGCTAAATGTTGTCTAAATATACTTGAGTTAAAAGTCACTAATATAGCACGGAAACTAAAAAATCATTATATAATGAACGTTCCTGTTTTGTGCTGAACTGCCAAAGATAAATATCATTTTTTTTTTACTTAATAAAATAAATCTTTCTAAAGTTTATTTAACAAATAATATAATAGAAAAAGGTTTATAAATTTTTATCCCAGCGTGCACAGTAAGTAAGTTAGACGTCTTACAAACGTCCTGCAGACATAGACATTCATTGGTCCAAGTAGTCGCAAACATCAGTATAACGTTGTAAAGATGTTTTTGACTGCTTGGATGGCTCTAACAGAATTATATGTTTACTAAGGGTTGACGAGAGAAACTTCAGGTTTTGTGCAATAAATATAATAAAGTAAAAAAACGTAAAAGCAAACACTTTAAAAAATACAAATTCTAAAACTTGAGTAAAAAGTAATTTGAAAAATGCAGTAAAATGGAGTTTGTAGAAACACTTTTAAAAGATAGATTGAAATGCAAATTAAACCCTGTTTCTACTCACCCTCAGAATGATCTAATATTATACTCTGAAGGAAAGCTGCTGTCAATAGCATTAAAGCTGCTGTCAACAGCATTAGTTTCCTAACTTGTATTTCAATTCCTGACCTGTATTTGTCTTTAATGGTTGACCTCACTTGTTTATTTACTGAACTTATTATTGATTTTGTATCCAAGAGCATTACCTTATTTTTGCATACCTTATTTCGGTTTAAAACATACCTTATTTCTGTTTAAAGTAACAATTCTAATTTAACTAAAAGCAAACAAATTTTTTTTGCTTAAAGAAAAGCACAACATTTTTAAGAGAAACAACATTTTTTTGCTTAAAGAACAGCACAACATCTTCAAAAGAAAAGGGAACTTATCTTTTTGAAGAGTTGTTTCATATTTAGCTGAACTCTTTTTCCATTCTTTCATTTAAGTTTTGACAGATAGAGAACTTAAAAATCCACGATATAATAATACAAAGTATCGTGCATTTTTAAGTTTTTTATATATCAAAATTTTTATAAAAAGGTTTTTACATTATATAAGGTTGTAATATGGGGCCATCTGCATTTATAGATGACAGATGTGGAAGTTTACTAAATTATACTTTAAATAAAAATGTTCAATTCTTTTTAGATCTCTTAT